TGTTCAACACATGGACTGCAGCGATTCAAGAAGACAGCTCACCACCGCCTTCTCAACGGCATCTAGGGACTGGCAATAAATGTTGGCCTGTCAACGATGCCCAAGAGTGAATTTAAAACTATCCTCACTTAAAGGAAACAAAACTGAGATTTGGCCAACCTTCATTTTGAACATTTAAATTTCAAACTGCTAGGTGACTGGACAGCGCTGTCGTTCCTCTGAATGGGCCAACTGAAGTTCAAATAGATCGGAGAAGCTCATCTCTAGCTCGACCCTGTTCAAGAGTCTGGGATGGTATTGTATCCTGAAGATCCCTCCACTGTACCTATCCATCCCACCTTTCCGCCCCACATCCACACTACTGTCCTGTAAACAGGGCTAGCTGAAGCCCAATAATGATTATTGATCTGAAGCTGGAAATTACAACGTGAAAGTCCCGTAAAGTCTCCAAATCTTATAGGTGCTGAACTAAATGACTGGTTTGGTCTAAATTGTATAAATTAAAATGGTTGTTAAGGTTAATGATATTTTCAATGTTTAATGTGAGATCCGCGAAGTACAAAGCCTGTACAATCAATTTTCAGAAAACTGATCCTTGCGGGTGGAATTGATGATCAGTATAATTGGACCACTTAAACGCTGTAACCTGGTGAGGTGGTGGGATGACATTTCTTTTAAATAAAACAATTCTATGCACAGTACAGAGCTTTGGTTTTATCCGAGTCAATTTTAAAGAGACGCGTGGACAGAATCGGGAGAGCCATGCTTACTCCTAACACCATTTAAAAAAAAGATGAAACAGTAAAGTCTACATGATCAAATATACACGCATTTACAGTGCGAGCTACCACACTTAACTCAAGAGATAACACAGTGTAGAGCTGGATGAACACAGCAGGCCAGGCAGCATCAGATGAGCAGAAAGCTGACGTTTCGGGTCTGGATCCTTCTATCTAAAATGCGAATACCAGAAACTTGTCCCTGAACAAAGGCGGAACGATTTTAACATTTTGTGTAGAGATGTTAGCGCAACTTTTGTGAGATCAGGTCTAATATAACAACACTAATGAACGCGCCCCCATCCTGCTCAGTTTCCAACGAGTGGCACAGACAACCAAACAAAGTAATCGAAGCCAAAACCTTGGAGAATTTGAATGAAGTTCCAGGTTAAAATAATTCCTGAAGTGTGAGACTGTTGCAGAAAGTCAATCTGACTTCCAAACAGAACCGTTTTCGTGGTAGTTTAGCAACAACTGAGACGAATTAGTGATAAATATTGATGAACACACGTGGTCATGGTGAAAATACAGAACCGGTAGGTCGTCGTTACTGCATCAAATATGAGCAGTTAGTTTTTAGAGAAATTGTTCGGAGTTATTACTATTTTTTTTTTAAATTTGCCTTATTCGAAGTTTTTAAGCACGTTTATTTTAATATTAGGTGCAATGAATAGGTTTAATTTTTCCAATTACACTGTTTCTCATGGTAACCGAACGAGACTTAAATCCACATAAATATTCAACGCGCAATCTGTAATGTCAACTGTCGGTAAACAGACCATGTTATATTGTGTGGGTTTTTTTTAGATATTACGATAAAGGGGACAGAATTCTAATTGTTTAATGAAATATAACCATACTTTTATATTTATTCTAAGATGTTGGTTTAGATGATAATTTAACATTGAGCTGAGGTCTGAGATATATTTACAGTGGCTAAATTCTGCTGGGACTGAACCTTGCAAATCAGCTAGCGGTTTGAAATCACGTAGTCGACACGATTTTATGATTCAATCTTATACTGATCCGAAAAAAAAATCGTTTCCTCTGTGTCGTACATGGAAAGTTGTCGTTTATTAAAAGTCCCTGCAGTTTTGATCCGGGCGGGTTCCCCCTCTCTCCTGTAATTTTGGAGCTGAGTTTTGGATTTCTAGTTCTGCTTTTTGAGTCCCTCCCCGCGCCACTAGCTGCAAAATCTTGATTCTCTATTCATTTCCCGGTCTCTCATTCCCCTCCTTTCCAATATAAAACAAGGAATCCTTGCCTATCTTACCGTAAAATCCTAGACTTGGTACGGCCTTTTCCAACTTCCTCTTCATCGCTATGTATTTTCCCAAAGCGCCTCTTCTTTTGAATAGATGAATGCAAATTCTTATTGCTGTGGTAAATTGAATAATCTAAAATCCCGGGCTAATGGTACATTAAAACGTTGAGCTAACTGTATGTGTGCGCTGTCCCTTCATAAGCTTAAAAGATAGTCACCAAAAAAAATCGTCCATTTCATTCGATGGTTTATGGATGTTTTGACGTACCTGGATTATTGGGCCGATTGAATGAACGCTGGACAATCGCATCCTCCGCTGAAACAAAAAAAACGAAAGATAAGATCAGTTTTCTGTCTCCTTCTCCAGCAAACTGCGTTCTCCAGACTGGGTGTGGATGAGGTCGGGATTAAGCGTGTTTACAGAGAAAACTGGTAAAGTCAGGTAAAAGAGAGGTGGGGGATGGGTTAGAGGAGATTGAGCAGCTGTGAGATGTGCATCATCTCCCAAAGTCCAAAAGAGATTTGTCGTGTTGCAAACAACGGCTCAGAGTGACCAAATGAGCTGTATTGCAGAAAAGAAAAATCCAGTTCTTCCCTTGCCTACTTAAGGAGTAATATGACTTAATATGGCTTAATAACAGTGCATGGTGATTTATTTATACGGTGGATAACTATTTTCGGCATTGATCGGAAATTATTTGTTCTTTATCTTCTTCCCAAAATCAAGTTTCAGATGTATTTCTGGTCTTTCATCTTCTATCCAAACTCCAATTAACGGAGTCACTTGGCCGTTCATTGTCAATTTTCCCGCCTGCGTTTTAAGGCCCAGGACATTGAGTGGTTTTCCAAAACCCACGTTTCTTATGATGCACCCAAGAAATATTCATTCTTCGTTAAACTTCCCACAGCTAAGATGCATAAAACCTTACATAATCCTTACATGTTGACTGTATCCAACACTTTTAAAACGAACAGTAACAATCCGTATTCCTATGACTATATTTGCATAATCACCCTGGTGTTAATGTCTTTATAGTGTCCTTGGCTGTACGGGAATTCCTGGCACTCTCTGTGACTCACAGCATCTTGCAGTGTAGTGTTGGCGATGGAGCAGGAATCGTGTTAGTTTGTGGCACACTGTCTGAAGCAAGTGGGACTTGTACTCAGGCCGCCTGGCACAGAGATATAGACACCAACACCACGCCACAAGGGACCCTTAACACGGTATGCATCTAAAATTCTAGCTATCATTGGAGTTCACAACTAGGGAACTTACAAATATACTTATTCAAAATGAATGGTCACCTGTCGCGCTGAAATAAGTAAAACCAAAATGCGAAGGTTTTGTTGGAAATGAAAACGGAGCGCGCCAACAGAAACCGTTCTGAAGAAGGGTCACTGGACTTCAAATGCTAACTTTGTTTCTCTCCATAAATGCTGCCAGACCTGCTGAGTTTCTGCAGCAATTTCTGTTTTCGTTTCAGATTTGCGGCATCCGCAGTTCTATGTTTTATTAACAAGAACACTTTGCAAAGGAGCAAGAGGGATTAGTCATTCTAGCGTTGATGGTCACATTTTATTGAAGCCAAAATATTCGAATCGAAACATGCATTTGCAATTGTGGCTGTTTGGAGTTATCTGTTGCACCGTTCATACACTAAAGGTTAGCATTCAGTTTCCTGAGGTTTAGAAGTTGCGCATTTGGTTAACTAACTACTCTGCTCCGGCTATTCAACCGATGCTTGTCACGCTGAAGGACAGAAGTCATGCGACAACAGGTTATAGTCCAACAGGTTTATTTTTTGCGTGTTTTCAAATAAACCTGTCGGACTATAACCTGGTGTCGTGTGATTTCTAGCCCTGTCCACTCCAGCCCAATCAGGCACTTCCACATCACGTTACACTGAAGACATTTCTAAAGAACCTATTCAGGCATGTTGTGGCACACTCTCTGAAGCAAGTGGGACTTGTACCCAGGCCTCCTGGCACAGAGATATAGACACTACCACCACGCCACAAGAGACCCTTAACCCGCTTTGCATCTAGCTACCAGCAGGTGTAATTCGTTAAAGGGGACATTTCACTAGTTTAAACTAGCCCCTGTTCACATTGAAAGACTGGATCGTCCCGGTTTTATCACCAGTCGGTATTTTGAAAAGCATTCATTGTGGCCAGTCTAAAAATAAATCCGAGATTTATTCCACTTTTAAGAGGGTTAAATGGGATTTTCCATTTCCCAAGACTGAATTACACAGCACAGAAAGACAACATTCAGAATTTTCCCTGCAATGTTGGCTTTTCGATGGCGTTAACATCTCAAATGATGAGCTGAATGTTTTGTCCATTGCCCAACCTGGACAGATGTTGCCCACCTCATTATATTTAGAGGCGTCCTGCGCCCGTTTAAAAGTTCATTATTTGGACGGAGATAGTAGGAACTGCAGATGCTGGAGAATCTGAGATAACAAGGTGTAGAGCTGGATGAACACAGCAGGCCAAGCAGCATTTTCTCAAGGGTCTAGGCCCGAAATGTCAGCTTTCCTTATTTGGACGGAGGCGCGGGGCAACTTAGACCACGTTATAAACCCAAACGAATCAAGAGGAAGAAAGGCATCTGGATGAGTACATGAAAAGGAAGGGTTTAGAGAGATATGGGCCAAATGCTGGCGAATGGGACTAGATTAATTTAGGTTAACTGGGCGGCATGGACGAGTTGGACCGAAGGGTCTGTTTCAATGCTGTACATCTGTATGACTCTATGAGCACACGCCAGTTTTTGTTTTAACAAGATGCTGTGGGGGCATTTGGAGATTTTCGTTCTTGAAGCTTTGAAACAGCCCTGCGCTGTTAAAATTGCCTGACTCGGCTTGTAGGAATGGGTGTGCTTATGTAAATGACGGGAGGTGGGAGTGACTGCTGTTTGAGATGAAGAGCAGATCGCGGGAGGGGAGACAGCTCAGCAGCACCTGAATGCGAGCAACGGGAGGTGCCGGAGGTGTGAGTGTTCTTCAGCCTGTGTCCTGCTGCCGCTGGTGATGGGCTTGCTGTTGTAGGAATGACCGCCGAGAAGCAGCAGCCAGCTCCTGGAGCCTCCAGCCTGGTGAACGGTAACCAGCCGGGGGTGAAAGTCGAGAAGGAGTCTCCGCCGGCTTTCCCGGAGAGCTCAGCAAGCTGCCACCCCGGGGAGCTGGCCCGGGGGAGAAGGCGCAAGCGGCCGATCCAGCGTGGCAAACCCCCGTACAGCTACATCGCGCTGATCGCCATGGCTATCGCCAGCTCCCTGGACAGAAAGCTGACCCTGGGGGAGATCTACCGGTTCATCACCGAGCGTTTCCCTTTCTACCGGGAGAACCCTAAGAAGTGGCAGAACTCCATCCGGCACAATCTCACGCTCAATGACTGCTTCGTGAAAATCCCCCGTGAACCCGGGCGCCCGGGCAAGGGCAACTATTGGGCATTGGACCCAGCCGCCGACGACATGTTCGAGAGCGGTAGCTTCTTGAGGAGGAGAAAGAGGTTCAAGAGGTCGGATATTACAACCTACCCGACGTACATGCATGAAACCGGCGTGTTCGCCCCACTGCAAGTAAGCAGGTCTCACACAAGACCCATGTATGCCAATATGACTATCAGTCCGAGCTATCCTCAGCAGCTTCCTGCTAACCCTCCTCTGCACTATTCAGCATCGCCCTCGGCGTTCAGCAACAACCCGTGCAGGATGTTCAGCTTCAGCAATCACGGCCCACTGGCTCCAGGGACAGAGCTGAGTCAGCAACCCTCTCTCACCTATCCTTCCGAACTGGCCGCTGCTGCTGCTTACCCTAACTTTGGCAGCCCCGCTTATCAGACTCAAGCCTGCAACGGGGCACTGTATTCCAGGCCCTCCAACGCCGTGCCCTGCACCTACACGGCGCCCAATCCACGTCCCCCCATGAGCCAGTCGACTTACTGCCTAGCCAGCGGCCAGATGTACGGCGCCTCTAGCCGCCTGTCCAGCCCTCCCGCCTCCCTGAGTAATGAGTCAGTGGAAGTCTTTGGAAGATTGTCTCCTGGCCCGTTCCCACCTCTGCGGCAGTGTAGCAACAACGAACAGGCCAACTGTATGAGTGCACACAGCAGACACACAGCTTACTGTGGAAATGTGGAAGGGATGTGAAATGTGGAAGGTCCATCCCACTTAGAACAGAAACTACAAATCATTTCTAGTGAGCCCCCGACATAAACAGTTAAACATTGACAGCACATTTGACACCTTAATTTCGATCCTTATGACAATTGTCTTGCATTGTACGTTGATTTAATGTACACGTCGCTGCGCAACTTAATACTTGTAATGTTAAAACTGTGCACAGTCCTTACGTTTTTTTCATAAAAGTAAACTGTTTAGCAGTATTGGTTCTCCGTTGAAACTCAGAGGATGGTGTGTTTTCTGTTTGTTTTCTGATTATCAGTTGGGACGAATTTCCATGATTCTTAAGATCATTTTGAGAATTGAGTAGCGGTAGAGTTCTCCTGAACATTTATTGCTTTCATCGAGACTCTGACCCCAAGTGCACTGCTTCTAAGACGGTCAAAGCTTCCTACACTCAATAAAAACCGAAAGAACTGCGGATGCTGTAAATCAGGAGTAAAAACAGAAGTTGCTGGAATAGCTCAGCAGGTCTGGCAGCATCTGTGTAGAAAAAGTCAGAGTTAACGTTTCGGGTCCGGTGAACCTTCCTCAGAACTGAGCTTTTCCAGCAACTTCTGTTTCTCTCCCTACACTCAATATTTTCATTCAATTATATTTCAGATCTTCCACATGCTACAATCATACCATACTGTAGATCACTTACAGAGTTCTTTTTTCTCCCATTCCCAGTATCGGTGTTTGTGATTGGGAAGGTTTCATTGAGTTTTGAATCGTTTGTGTAAGGAAGGTTTCGTTCTTAACGTAAGAGATATGTTCATTTTCATATCACCGCATTTGTAAAGGGTGCGATCATCCGCCTCGGGATGATGCTTCCCATGGATTCGATGATCAAAAGAGATTCAATCGATCGTTACTTGAAGATCGAACATCTCTGAATTCGCTCTAACAAATACAACAAGTTCTCAACGAACCGCTGAGAACTGTATACATCCAAAGATTTGTCAAGAGGGGTGGTTTCTGGGACGGTTGTGGGCTGCTGAGAATTTTATAGGATATTAATTTCAAATCTATCAATTCGGTTAAATCTTAAATTGTAAATCTCCAGAAGTCTGAGTAATATTTGACTGGCTTGAGTAACGAAAACTCCCCAACTTTTACAAACGTGGCGCTGGTTTAGCAGAATTCAATGTTGTAACAAGTTATTGATAATATACAATTAATAAGAATTAATTCGTGATTATTTATAATTATGGATTAAAATATTAATTTATATATAAGATAATGAAACACGGGAAATCACCAAGTTACGTGTGACAAACCCCTATCAGTTGAATGGCAGGCTTTGAATATCACATGAGAGTAGGCCTTAGGACAAACTGGGGCTCCTTTGCAGCCAACCTCAAGCCCTGGGTTCTCACTGCAAACTCTCGCACTTGCGGAGAGATACAAACAATGGTGCGCATTAAGGAGGAGAGTCTCTGTAGATTAAGTGGCGGACTGATCACCTTAAACCAAACAAATCAGGCTATTGCTTGGCACCAGGGATTTTCATTCTCTAAATAAATAAGAAAATAATGAGGCATAAACCAGTGCATTGCAGGTAAGACACAAAAACATGATCCACCGTTTTTTTTGTCTTATGCAGGCTTGCACAGGCAGGCATGCAGAATTTTGGACTGGAAAGAAAGATTCTTATTCATGTTTGACAAATGAAGTTGGCATGTCGAATTGTATGAAACATGACAGCAGTATAGCAAGAGCGACCACTCAGCCAACGTTGAATAACATATAGCACCAATTCTGTATTGTTATACATGGGAACATAGAGCATAATTGTCCTCAGGAAGATGGTAGGTTGCCTTAGAATCATAGGGTTATTACTACACAGAAAGAGGCCTTTAAGCCTTTTGAGTCTGTGCCAGCTCCATTTCCCCATGCTTTCTCTGTAGCGTGGCAAGTTTATTTTCCTCAAGTACCCATCTAATTTGATTTTAAAATTGTTCATTGATTCTATATCTATGTAGGGAGAGTCCTAGGCCATTACTACAGAGCTCTTCATATCACCTGCATCTCTTAACCCAATCCTTAATTCGTGAGTTCTGAGGAAGGGTCACCAGACCTGAAACGTTAACCCTGTTTTCTCCTTCACAGATGCTGCCAGACCTGCTGAGCTTTTCCAGCAACTTTGTTTTTGTTCTTAAATCTTGAGTCCTTGTTCCATTAGTTAATGGGAACAGTTTTTTTTTCGCTGCCTACTTTATGTAAACCTGTCACTGTCTCTAGCTCCACATATCTATCAAAAATCCCCTTTGGTTCAAGGAGAACGACCCCAGCTTCTCCAACCTTATCTTGTCGCTGAAATCCCTTGTTTCTGAAACCACTCTGGTAAAACCCTTTATGAATCCTCACAAGCATTTTTACATCTGTTCTGGTATGTGGTGACCACAGCTGGACACAATACTTAACCAGAACCTTACACTAAAGTTTGGCTCCTGCTCTTAATGCCTCAATTAATTAATGCAAGGGTCCCATATATTTTCATACCCACCCTCACAATATGCTTACTACCTTCAAAAAATCTAAATCCCAGCTATGGAACAATTTCCCTTATACCTGTTTCTCTTCCATTAAAAAAAAGCAGTCACGCTTAGTCCACATCTCAATTTTTCATTCACTTTCTTGAACTGCTGGAACCTGTGGGGGTGAAGGTACTTCCAGAGTCCTGTAAGGATTGGAATTTCAATATTTTGATCCAGCAACAAGGAAGATTGTGATATATTTCAAATTCAGAATCTTGCGTAATTTGGAGAGGAACTTGAAGACCATTGTCTTCCTCTGTCTTTGCTGTCTCTGTCCTTCTCGGTAGCAGAGGTCACAGGTTTGGAAGATACTATTAAAGAAGCCTTGGCAAGTTACTTGACAGTGCATCTTGTAGGTGATAGACTGTGCTGCCACTTAAACATTGTTTAAGATGGTGGACAGGAGCAGGATGTTTTATGCTGGATGATGCCAAGTTTCATGAATGTTGTTAAGTTGTTCTCATTCAGATAAGTGGAGAGTATTTCATCACAGACCTGATTTGTGCCTTGTAGATGGTGGACAAGTTTTGAGGAGTCAGAAGGAAAGTTATTAAAACACAAAATTCCCAGCATCTGATCTGGTTTTGGACACACAGTATTTACATGGCTGATCCAGTTCTGTTTCTGATCAATAGTGACCTCATGGTGTTGATTTTGAGGAATGATGTCATTGAATGTCATGGGCTGATGATTAGATTCTCTTTAGTTGGAGCTGGTCATTGTTTGGCAGTTGTGTACCACAAATGTTACTTTCAACTTATTGGCCCAAATCTGAATGTAGTCCAGGTCTTGCTACTTGTAGATATAGATATATTGATTGTAAGAATTGGAGCAGGACATTTGGCTCTTCCAACCTGCACCACCCATTCAAAAAGGTCATGACTGATCTGGTTGTGGTTTCAGCTCCATTTTTCTGTCTGTCCCCCATAAGTTATCTCCCATGTCTAACAAGGATAGCTTCAATATCTGAGTGGTCAAAAACTGAACATTCAGCAATCAATATTCTAACATCTATGCTTCTGACCTTATAATGGATAGGAGATCATTGTTGAAGTAGCTGAAGATGACAAGTCTAGGAAACTACTCTTAGGAACTCCTGCAGAAATGTCGCGGTGAGATGATTTGACTTCCAGCAAAAAAAAACCCACCTTCTTTTGTGTTTGGTATGACTCCAACAGGGGAGAGATCCCACCATCCCCAACCTACCCTTATTCCATTGTGATAAATCTGTAAACTATATTGAAATGTGCCAATATTTCACCTCTTCAGTATTCATCGTTTTCTATTAATGACAGGGAGATTGTTGAGGGGGAGTGACGGCCACTTGTAGAAGTTGAACAGACCATGTATTGTCCTGCAGCATGCTTGCTGCTTCCTACACATTAATCTGTCTAAAATAGTTTGCATGTCACTTTTTATCTTGAGTAGAATTGGTATCAGAGTTGTCTTCATTGATTGAAACAAGACCAACTTGTGTTTTTCTTAATTCTTCTGTGGAATGTGGACATCACTGGCTTTGCCAGCATTTGTTGTCCCTGGGAAGGTAATGCTGAGCCACATTTTTGAACAGTTAATTCCATGTGGTGTAAGTATAGCCGTAGTCCTATTAGGAAAGGTATGTTGTGGTCAAACCTTTGTATTTATTCAGAAAAATGTCTAAATTGCATGTGGTGTGTCAAAACTATTGTCTTTTTTTCTTATTAAGCATCAGAATGCTGAAATGTTGATATCTGGAATATTTCTCTCATGTAATGTTTGTGCTGTAGTATTTTGTGACTGAATAAAAGGTCCCTGGGTTAGGGGTATACTGGTATACCTCAATGGGACCTGAAACTAATGAGAATATATAGTTTGAAAGACAGGAATGTGATCATTTCAGGATTATAAGCTCACATGAATTGCAATGAGGTATTATTGTAGATCCTACCTAGTTAAAAAAGGGTTTAAAAATCAATTTTTGTTATAAAAGTCTAAACCCAATTGGTTTTATAATTGCTAAAAGAAAATCCTTTCCCCTTGTAAATCAACAGAAATGATGAAGATTCTGCAAGTAAAAGCAGCAATAACAATACTGTTACGCCGAGGTAGGATCGGCAAGACAGAAGGAGGATGAAAGATCTGTTTACAAAGTGAAATGTTTCCAATGTCAAATAATGATCCCGGGGTGATTTTCATTTTAATTTTTTTCTTAGTTATTGTGCATTTAGTTTAACGCGGAATATTGGACATGGGTTAAAGGGCATTCTTCTGTTACATGAGAAATCTGCATTTTCAATAAATCCGAGTTCTGGTAATTTTGACGGAGTATTGAAGATTTCTTTTTATTAGGACTTTGTGCCAAAATTTCAATTCATGTTGCGTGAACTGCCTGAAAATATCTACTTGCATTTATTAAAAACCGAAAGAACTGCGGATACTGTAAATCAGAAACAAAAACTGAAGTTGCTGGTAAAGTTCAGTAGGCCTGGCAGTATCTGTGAACAGAAATCAAGAGTTAACGTTTCGTGTGCAGTGACCCTTCCTCAGAACTTGCATTTATTGTCTGACTTCAGTTCCCCACGTTAGCAGTAGGCACTGAAATATTCTTTGTCGCCGGGACAATTGCCAGATGGAGTGTATTTGTTGCAAAGTTGAATCCAGAAGGTTTATGTTTAACAAGGGAGCTGCCTTTTAGTTTTGGTTGTAG